TACAAATGACTTCATTTAGAGAACCAATGAATGGAATGAAACCAAACATGGCATGAATGTTCCTGATGAGGTGCTGACCAAGTGTTGTTACTTTGAAGCCGATTCATCATCCAAGATTTCCACAAGAGGGAGACTAAGTTTAGCATAGGACCCTAAGGGAAATACATACAAATATCTTCTTTTAGAGAACCACTAAATGGAATAAAATAAAACATGGCATGAATGTTCCTTGTTAGGTGCTGACCAAGCGTTGTAACTTTGTATGCGATCAATCATCCAAGATGGCCGCCAGCGGGGGACTTCGTTTAACATAGGACACTACGGACAATACATACAAATGTCTTCTTTTAGAGAACCACTGAATAGAATGAAACCAAAAATGGCATGAATGTTTCTTATGAGGTGCTGACCAAGTGTTGTAGCTTTGTAGGCGATCAATCATCCAAGATGGCCACCAGGGGGGACTTAGTTTAACATAGGACCCTACGGGAAATACATTCAAATGTTTTCTTTTAGAGAACCACTGAATAGAATGAAACCAAACATGGCAGGAATGTTTCTTATGAGGTGCTAACCAAGTGTTGTTACTTTGTAGCCAATCAATCATCCAAGATGGCCACAAGCGGGGAACTTAGTTTAACAAAGGACCCTATGTGAAATACATACAAAAGTCTTCTTTTGAAGAACCACTGAATGGAATGAAACCAAACATGGCATGAATGTTCCTTATGAGGTGCTGACCAAGTGTTGTTACTTTGTAGCCAATCAATCATCCAAGATGGCCACAAGCGGGGAACTTAGTTTAACAAAGGACCCTATGTGAAATACATACAAAAGTCTTCTTTTGAAGAACCACTGAATAGAATGAAACCAAACATGGCATGAATGTTCCCTTATGAGGTGATGACCAAGTGTTGTTACTTTGCAGAACATCCATCAACCAAGATGGCTGCCAACGGGGACTTAGTTTAACAAAAGACCGTATGGGAAATAAATACAAATGTCTTCTTCTAGAAAACCGCTTAATGGATTAAAACCAAACATGGTTTGAATGCTTCATTTGAGGTGCTGACCAAGGGTTGTTACTTTGTAGCTGATTTGTCATCCAAGATGGCTGCCAGCTGGGGGAGTAAGTTTAACATAGGACCCTATGGGAAATACATACAAATGGTTTTTTTTCTAGAGAACCACTGAATAGAATGAAACAAAACATGGCATGAAAGTTCCTAATGAGGTGCTGACCAAGTGTTGTTACTTTGTAGCCGAACCATCATGCAAGATGGTCGCCAGCAGGGGACTTAGTTTAACATAAGACCCTTGATTGGAAAATAAATACAAATGCTTCTTCTAGAGGAGCTCTAAACGGAATGAAACCAAACGTGGCATAAATGTTCCTTATGATGTGCTGATGAATACCTTAATGCATATATCTTTATAGATTGAGATATACTGTAAACTGCAAAAATATCAAGAAAAAAAGATCTACATATAAGTCAACATGAGCAAAATTGTCGATTGACATCTTGTTGGAGTTATTGTCTACAATTTCAATGAATTTATTGGTAATTTCTGTAACTTTACAAAAGTCTTCTGCTATGATTAAATAATGGGGCCAATATTAAACCAAATTTTGCCTCAATCATTATTAGGGTATCTGTTCTGATTTTAATCTATTTTAACATGATTTCCAAAACCAAAGTAAAATCAGGTGAGAGACACAGGCTCTTGAGAGCCTCTAGTTTATAATAGTTGCATCACTGAGTACTTTCATTGTGATAACCGTACGTCTTGGTCAGGTCACCATATTAGTGTATATGAACTTCTGGCTGTCCTGGTCAGTTTAAACGTGTGGGGTAAAAGACTGCAAAATAAACGTATTGTGTTGCATTGTGACAATTCATCTTCTGTTATTCTCCTTAATACAGGTAGATCTCGTGATAAGATCATGCTTAGCATAGCAAGAAACATTTGGTTAATTTGTGCTCAATATAACATTCAGATCAAAGCGATTCATATTCAAGGAATAAACAATCGAGCAGCAGATATATTGTCTCGTTGGACATAACTTGAAAACCCTTATGCAAAACTGTTTTAGATGACAATTATATGTTAGATATTGAAGTTTCGGATAACTTATTTAAGTTAGACTTTTCCATTTAATTTCAGAAACAGGATCAGATGAATGGGTATCACTTCGTCGGAAAGCAAGAACAATCCTGAAAGCAGCTTTCAGACCGGGAACTTTTAAAAATTTGAGGACTCAGCTTAATACATACTTTTTGTTTTGCGAAAAGTTTTTGTAGATCAGCATTTCTTGTGTTTTTTTTTTTTTGTCAGATAATTTTAAGAATAGTGGATCCGTTAGAAACTACTTATCAGGTGTTAAAACTTGGGCCATTCTGTTAAATTATGATCCTGGGGAATTTAATTCACCTTCGCTCAGGCTAACCTTGTCAGGTATTGACAAGCTTAATACTAATGTTCCAAATATAAAATTACCATTTGAACCGTCTCATTTGTACCGTATATATGAAGTCCTAGATATGACGAGTGTACAGGATGCTGTGTTTTGGGCTGTTATTGTGATAAGCTTTTATGCTATGCTTAGAAAATCACAATACACTAACAATCCAAGGACAACGTTTAACTTAAGGAGCAGTTAACCAGAGGTAACATTCAAATTATTGAGGAAGGATTAATTATTGATATCAAGTGATCAAAAACTAGTCAAAAACACAATAGTATTCACCACATTTCTCTTAAAAGAATTGAGAATTGTGTTCTATGTCCGGTACTAGCTTATTCTAGAATGGTAAAAATGTTGCCTGCTTTACTAGAAGAACCCGCTTTTGGTCTAAGTGACAGTAAGGGAAAGATTTGTGCCTTTTCAATGTCCGACATAGACAATTTTTTTCATAAACTCTTAGTGCGTTTCGAAATTGATACTTTACAATACTCGTTCCATAGCTTGCGTAGAGGCGGTGCTACTTGTGCATCAGCTGCTGGATGCACAGACTCAGAAATTTGTACAATAGGCAATTGGGCTTCCTCTTGCTACAGGGGCTACATCAGACACTCTACTGACAAACTGTATTACATCTTAAACAAAGTGGGACTTTTTTGCAAAATTTCCAGCTGCTAAATTTCCTTGAATTTTTATCCTTAATTTCCTTTGATTTCTGTGCTTGGCATTCCGTTGCCCTGGTGATTGTGGTATTTAGTTTTAAAATGACATATTGTTTAACATAACATTGTTTCTTTATGCGTGTTTGAATATTTATATTGTGTATGCGTATTTGCATTTGATTTATATTACTAAACACCACCTTTGAATGCCAGCACAGACTTCAGTTTTATTATAGCCACTCTGACAGTACAGTACAAATTGGTTAAAAATGGCAAGTCATTTTGTTTACTTTGTTCGGGGCGTCCTCCGTGTTTAAGGTTCATCACTTTAGCTCTTTCTTAATAGAGATAAGTTTAGCACATAATATATACAAATTTAAAAGAAACAACGTGTTTATCCCTCCCGCCCACCCTATTATGGATCATTATTTACATATTACATATGTATGTATCGTTGACTTGTTTTTTTCTTGAAATGTCTTAGCTTGCAACTTTAGTGAAAAGTTGTTTGTCTTTTTTTTTTTTTTGTCGTTGTAATTTTTAGAAATTTATTTTAACCTTTTTATATGTGATTGTGGTGTTTAGTTTTAATATGACATATTGTTTAACATAACATTGTTCCTTTATGCGTGTTTGCATATTTACATTTTTTATGCGTATTTGCATTTGATTTATATTATTAAACGACACCTTTCAATGCCAGCACATACTTCAGTTTTATTATAGCCACTCTGACAGTACAGTACAAATTAGGTTAAGTATGGCCCAGCATATTAACAAAGTACTTATCTTGGGATGGGTAAATTTTATTTTTAATTTAATTGCAGTGTTTATAGTATAGTATAACTATAACAAATATATTTATGTTTCATGGTTAAGCATAAATGTTATTGTATGTGGAGTGTATTTGACTAATCCTTAATGTCATTGTGGTATGTAATGGCTATCCAATTATTTACACTTATAGTCCTATGCACTGTCGATACTTATATTTGCATTGTGCAATATCTTGCTTTTCTAAGACTGCTTAAGATGTCTTTACCTATGGATATTTTAGTCTGAGATAACATGATTTACTTTTTCTTTTTCAATTTGGCATTAATCTAGCGAGTACTATGTGTCTGTTGTCTTTTTGTTATATTTTTCTGCTAAATACCGATCTGACAAGTGTAGCCTTTTAAATATATAGGTACAGTTTGGCCTTATTTGATCTTAATACACCAGTGTCCCATCTTAGGGGAGGCTCACTAACATATTAAATCCCGGTACATTCTTCATGAGACTGTTTCAACCGTTGCTGGATAATAGTTTTTGTTTATTTTTATAATTTTAATTAGTTTACTCTTTTGAGCAGTCTCACCTTTTCCATCCAGAGCCCTTTTACAAATGATTACTATACGGTGTGGGTTTCGCTCATTTTGAAGGCCATATGTAGAAATTTGAATGTTAATATCCTTGTCATTTGTGCTTAAATTGATAGTTTTTTCATCGGCAATACAACATCGCATTATATTTATATACGATAATGTTGGTTGATCAAGCAAAACATCAAAAGACTAACGTTGCGCGTGTACGATCCGGCATTAATATTATTTACTCAAGTGGAATGTTGTTGGTCCAGCATAACTATAATTCTTACGTTAATTAACGTATGGCCCATGGCCAAGGTAAACTTTAGATAATTGACGTCACGCGTACTGCTGTCCACTATAAATACTATGTACTTACGTCGAGTGTGAATGGCCTAGTGTAATTTAAAATTGTCTAGTATAAATAGGATGTACTTACGTCGAGTGTGACAGTGTATGACCCAATGTAACTTTAATGAATTTATGACTACTGTGTGCTGTCAAGTATAGATGCGATGTACTTACGTCGAGTGTGTATGGTCCAGCATCACTATAAATTTCTTTTCAGTACTTGTTCTACAACCGATAACATTTATTCTTCCTTGCTTCTCACGAATCAAGTATACTTCACTGTCTATCCCATATGAAATATCATTCATAATTGTTATCAATAACGGCGATATTCGTTTAGAATACAATAACTTATTTCGTCGAATCCATAAACCATCTGATATATAGGTAATCGGGTATATAAGTCTTGGACATACGTCGTCATATTTGGAAAATCGTTCCCTGTCAATAAGTCGCACCTATAATACATATAGTGCAATAATCATCATAAAAACAACATAAGATATCATTGTTTTCTTGGTATATTGAAATCAGACGCCCTGCATATACCTAAATAGCATAGTACGATGTACTAGTATCTCACAATTACTAAATAGACAGTTGTGAATGTTAAACAACTAACAGATGATCATTCAGTTTAAAGGAGAAAGAAAACAACATGAGTTGGTGAAAGATAGACAGCAACTCTGACAAAAGTTAAAAGACAACCAAACTTAAGGTTAATAAAATACTACACAGACAACTGACTATTGAGCAATACAAATCCTTTACCAGAAGTAAACTCATGTGTTATGTGATTCGGAAGGTTGCCATTCTGGCTCCCTCTCGTTACTAATAATAAAAGCTGATAATATAAAGTCGGTGATCTGCTTTTTTGCAATAATTGTTGTTTTAAATTCGGTTGTCTTGCAGTAGGAATTTATCAAATTCATAAACTATCGGCACATGAAGTCCGGTAATATTAAAACATGACAAAATATGGGTTTGTAATGATAATACGATGGTTTTTCAAGACGATTTCAGTATAACGAAGACGTTTCAATGACTTTGATAAAATCACTGAATTATACATTTCAATATTTAATTTCTAAAGGGAACTTGTTTCATGTAAAATGGAATTTTGAGAGCAGCTCAAACATCACTGCTTTCTGAGTATACTATACTTTCGCAAATATTTCTTTATTTTAAGACTAGTACATTTCAAATTTGATTTAAACATAACAGTTTTAATATTTTTACCTGAAATGTAACGTCTTCTGGTTCATCCAAGACTCCTCCCTTCACAGCTACTTGTATGTCAGGAATTAAAGCATTTTTAAACTTGTATCCATGTTTGTCAACTTTGTAGGTGAATTGTATGAAATCGCACGTTGCAAAGAAATTTCCACGAATTTCAGTTTTGAATACTACATAACCTTCCTGAAGACAGAATTTTAAAATAAAACATACATTTTTCGCGAGATAAAATCTGTAAAGTCTAAAATAAAATAGCCCTATGCAAATTTAAGGTAAAGAAAAAAAAGAGATTTCAAAAAGGTCATAATCATTTAATATAAGAGCTGAAAAAAGACGGATAGCATTATGGCGAGAAGCAATCAAAAGTTAACAGGCGAGAGACGGAAAAATAAAATCAGATACAACTACAAAGATGTAAGTCGAAGTACAAAGCTGGCTTAATATATCTACTATACAGTCCATTTCAAGTTTCAATGACCAGATGCCGATATATTATTAGTAAGTGAGAGGACATCATCTATATATATAGCGAAATGCCAAGTTCAAGAACAAACAGGATTTAATTATAACACAAATAATAGTATTTTTCTGACGCTAAAAACAAAACATTGAATTATAAACTTACAAATATTGAGTTTCCTGGTGTTTCCTCGAATCTAGCATCAATTCTACGCCAGACCAGTCCAACCCTCATCCTTATGAAGAATTTCAATTTTTCTGAATCAAATCTGATTTTTACCGGAATTCTTACTGTTACGATATTCATTAACTGGACACTTGGGATGTCAGATTGTAATACATATATATATGAAATGATATCTTCATCAGGTTTAAAGTATATTTCATTGATCATTTTCTGACAGTCTTGTTCCCTAAGTCTATCAAAGCCGTCCAAAAAATCTATAGCGGCGATGTCCGCTTTTTCCAGTCCAGTTTTCAGTTCTAGTTTTGGTTTACTGTATCAGAAAAAAAGATTGTTTACGTTTTGTTTGTTCTTTGTGTCACCAAAAGAAATAATTTAAATGAATTATGTTTTCTACCAAACTATCTTTTATCCTGGGACTTAACATATACGACTCCGATCTTAATCGACTTCGATTGTCAGTTTTCCTGCTGAACGTCGGCGGTTTGTTTCTCCGACCACTCCGGCTTCCCGCACCAACAAAAACTGCCATCAAGATATAGCCAACATTGTTGAATGTGGCGTTAAACATCAACAATCAATTAATTTGTGACAAACGTTATTAAGGAGGCGAAAATACCAAAGGGATAAACAAACTCATCAGTCGAAAATAAACTGACAATTCCATGGCATACCAAAGGGATAAACAAACTCATCAGTCGAAAACAAACTGACAGTTCCATGGCATACCAAAGGGATAAACAAACTCATCAGTCGAAAATAAACTGACAATTCCGTGGCATACCAAAGGGATAAACAAACTCATCAGTCGAAAATAAACTGACAATTCCGTGGCATACCAAAGGGATAAACAAACTCATCAGTCAAAAACAAACTGACAATTCCGTGGCATACCAAAGGGATAAACAAACTCATCAGTCGAAAACAAACTGACAATTCCGTGGCATACCAAAGGGATAAACAAACTCATCAGTCGAAAACAAACTGACAATTCCGTGGCATACCAAAGGGATAAACAAACTCATTAGTCGAAAACAAACTGACAATTCCATGGCATACCAAAGGGATAAACAAAATCATCAGTCGAAAACAAACTGACAGTTCCATGGTATACCAAAGGGATAAACAAACTCATCAGTCGAAAACAAACTGACAGTTCCATGGCATACCAAAGGGATAAACAAACTCATCAGTCGAAAACAAACTGACAGTTCCATGGCATACCAAAGGGATAAACAAACTCATCAGTCGGAAACAAACTGACAATTCCATGGCATACCAAAGGGATAAACAAACTCATCAGTCGAAAACAAACTGACAATTCCATGGCATACCAAAGGGATAAACAAACTCATCAGTCGAAATCAAACTGACAATTCTGTGGCATAAAATCGAAAAACGACGAAAAGACAAACAACAGTACACAAAACACAACAAAGAAAATTTAACTGAGCAACACGAACCCCACTAAAAACCTGGTATTTTTGTCAATCCTGAAATGCCGGGTATTTTGATGATAAATATAACAGTGGCACTGTTTTTAAATAAACCATCAAAACCTTTGCGCTGCAGGTATATTGTAAAACTTAATAAAGGAACATTTCATTTTTTGAAACTTAAAAAATCCATCCCCTTTGTTATACAGTTTAACATTCACACATCTTATAACAACATTAAACTGTAACAGGATTAATGGTTCAGATGAGCTTATGACAATTAAAGTGTCTTCCGTGATGCCAGAGGTCCAAATATTTGAAAATCGAGAGCCTTACACAACGTTGAAGAGTTGATATAACCAACAATAACATAAAGTATAGCCAAACAATGAAGATTATCTTTAAATATAAAAATGCATCTTGTTGACACATTCCCCGTTTCTATTCCCTATTATATCATCGATGTTAAAAAAGATACAATTAAAGAAGTGGGTTACAATTTGTTAAGTTGGTTTTTAGTAAGACCCTTGATTGAATTTCGGCCAATACGATTCACAAGGATTCAAATAGTGCCATAATAATACCAATCGTGTGTGGAAAATATGTCCGTCGAATTCAATAAAAAAATTATTTGATTACAACACTTTTCTAACAATATCATCAGTATAAACGTTGACAGAAAAAATGTTTGGTCTTCTTAAAAATGTACACCTTCTTCCTCCCTTATTCGAACAAAAATATAATGAAGCGATCTTTACTTTATCATTGGGTTGGGGTTTAAAGTGTAGAAAATCGGAAATTTGAAAAATGACTACAAAAACTTGTTTTTCAGATATTCCAAATATTATTTTTTTGTTTTATAACTGAAAATCCATATTTAAAAAATCACTAGTAAAGAAGAGTTATTTGTCATAATGCTTCCTGTTGTTAAGAGGTTTGAAAAAAAAACTTGGTATAACTCTTGGAAGACCAGTTATAATCAAAGGTACTTATGTAGTCTTGATGTCAAATGGAACTTGTGATTAACAAGTAATTCTCCGTATGTAAATGAAAAGAAATAGTTGCAGGTTGTTGTTGGGTTTTTTTCTCGAAACTTTTTGTGTCTAGTTAGAAAATAACTGTACGGTTTTAAGATACCATTCCCAAGAGAAAGCATTCGACGTAGTTTGAAGACCCTTCATAGTTTGAAAACACTTCATAGTTTGAAAACACTTTAAAGCTATTTAAAAACTATGTATTACCTTTGTATCTCCTCTGTTGATACCTCAGACCTGAAAAATACTAAATTATTATTGTATGTGATAGGTAAATATCAACATTATTTGAGAAATTACGTAGGTATTCATCTATAATAAAATTGAGAATGGAAACGGGGAATGTGTCAAAGAGACAACAACCCGACCAAAGAGCAAAAAACAGTCCAAGGCCACCAAAGGGTCTTCAACACAGCGAGAAAATCCCGCACCCAGAAGTGGGCTATAGCTGGCCCTTAAACAAAAACGTGTACTAGTTCGGCGAAAATGGACGTCACACTAAACTCCGAAACATATAAATGAACCAAAATTAAAAAAATATACAAGACTAACAAAGGCCAGAGGCTCCTGACTTGGGACAGGCACAAAAATGCGGCGGGGTTAAACATGTTTTGTGAGATCTCAACCATCCCCCTATACCTCTAGCCAATGTAGAATAAACAAACACACAGCAATACGTACAGTAAAACTCAATTTAAAAGAATTCCGAGTCCGATGTTAGAATAGGTAACAGAAAAAACTAAGCAAAATGACAATGATACATAAATTAACAAATGACTACTAGCAGTTACTGACATGCCAGCTTCAGACCTCAATTAAACTGATTGAAAGATTATGTCTTTATCAAATGAAAATCAACCGTTAGGGGTTTAGTATCATATCATCATAAAATATACGAGAAGAACATATAACCCGAATCATGCCAACAACTGGTTTTAGAATAAATGTGTTTATTTCCGATGCAAAGACCCTATGAGTGAATCAATATAAATCCCAAAAATGCCATCTTTAACGACCTGACAACTGTTTCGTAACTATATCCCTTCTGAATGAGTCTGTTTAAAGGTTTGGTTAGCTTTTGAGGTGAATGACGACATTTTTGTGCTTTGTATAGAATATAACCATAAAAGATTGGATGTGAAATACCTGAACGTATAAGATGTCTGCACGTTGATTTATATATACGATTGATGTCCTTGTACCGATGATAAAATTTAGTAAATGTTTTGACAATTAAGTTTGTGATATCGAAAACCCTGGTGTAATAATTTTTCAGTAACACAGAGCTTTCTTTCGTTAAAATCAAATACGTTGTTTCATACGAATCGAACAAGTTGAGATATATAAACACCATAAGATGGTGACCATCTAAAAATGGATAATTAACAATAGGAAATGAAAAATCATCTCTAAAAGTATGCTTTGGTTCAGTAATAAATATTTTGTAACTGTGGGTATATCTGTAAAAGTTCTATCGAGGATATAAACTTAAACCTTAATGGTTCTGATTTGCGAAAACGCCAAAAATGAAAATTGCTTGTAACTTTTTCTAATATTTTATGTAAATTAAATGAGTAATCAAAATTACCTCTGTTTGCCCATTGTTAAATCGAATGAATCACGTCGTTCTACAGGATAAACTGTTTGTATTTCTCTGTAAAATAAACACATTCATGTGACAATACATTTCATCTGTGACATTTAGTTAAATACATTAGTACAAGCTTTGGAGAAACATATTTTTTGCAGGTAAAGAAGTTGTTTCATTTTTTACAAGTTTTCAAATTGATATTGGATGGTGTTGACTGTTATAGTTTTACTATTTTGTCTACGTACTCTATGTACGGTTTTCCAAACTTGGTTTCGAGTCTACCTGATAAAGGTTATTTCATATCACGTATCGCGCTGTCGCTATATATTACGTATATCAATATACATAATTACGGTAGGAATACACATCTAATAGATCTCCCAATACAAATAACAGAATTGTAGTTATCATTCTTAGATGCAATTAGATATGTTTTGTAAGGTTTAAAACATATCCAAGAAACACAAGTAAGATGAACTTGTGTATACTTTACATATATTTAGTAGACCTGATAATATTCAACAAAAGAAAAAGAAAATCGCTTTGTTTTACAAATTCGATGGGGAATGTATGTGTGGGCGTTACGATCATACTGGCAAAATATTTTTACAAGTTCAAAGAGAAAGACAGAGAGAGAAAGAGGAGAAAGAAAAAGGAAAGGTAAACAGCATGTAAATTCTGAAATGCAAGGCACTTCAAATCCAACCCTAGCCCCCTACTAGGACTCTGCCCTGGATCCCTAGACCCCTCGTCTATTTTCACGCCTCTTGAACATCCTGAATCCGCTCCTGACATTTACTAATCAATGTAACTGATGAGATCACATAAATCCGATATGCTCTTTCGGACGACTACAACAAGTGTTTAGGACATCTTGAAAAGAAAACGGGTTATTTGCAATTTGACTCTGAGCTCATTGTTGAAGGCCGTACGGTCACCTATAATTGTTTGTCATTTGTCTCTAGTGGAGAGTTGTCTCATTGGCAATCATACCATATCTTCATATTTTTATATTTTGAGTTTAGCTTACAGTTGCAATCCTGTGATATGCGAAAATGTTGTTGTCATATATTATAGCCCTTCTGAATTTAATAATTAAACTATATAGCATTTATACAGACCTCTCCGTAGAACTCTGAGTACCTTTCTCCATTGTTTGAAGCTGTAGTCTCTTCCTTTTCGTGCCACTACAAATGACAAATGTTAACTATAATAGTAGGAATTATCTTCTTAATAATAGACTTTATACAACACAAATTTATTTTCAATCTATGTGTTGATTTCTTTAAACATTTGAGAATCTAGCATCGGAAAGAGTTGAAGACTAGGCAGCGTAAGGTAAGATTTCCAGTATCTGATGATGTTTTTCCTTGTTATAAACGACTGGAATTCTATTATACCAGCCATATTTGTAGTGATTGGTTCTTTTTCTCGCCGTCTAACATTACGGTAGATGTGGGGTCTAAATTAAAATCGATAGATTTTTTAATAATTTGCCAAAATTTTCTTAATTTCATGCCTTTTTCCATAATATTATGAAAAGTATTTGTCACGGGTTTATTTTCGAGCTACAGGTTATGCAAAATTGTCAGATTTTTTTAATAGTCTACACATAAACAACCCAATTTTGTGTGATAGAAAAAAGACTACACAAAAGAATCTTAAAATAAAATATGAAAATATAACTCTTATAATGCGCTTTCTGAAATAAAAATAAAAATTTGGATCACGGGACACGTTTTCTTTCTACAAAACAAAATATTCAAATTCCTTACACATTCCTTTATCATGGTTATCTCCCCTTATATGAGCCGTAAGGCTCAAAGTTAATAAAGAATTTGAATTTATATGGTGAAAAAACATGAATCTAACAAAACAAATCTCTTTTTGTAAAAACAGTCACAAAATAAATTAAAATAGACAATGTTATTCATTAAGTTGAAAAATCTTGGACATGAGTTGCATTCCTCTCTCAAAATTTGCACTTTTCTTTAAAGATCTGAACCGATTGTTTTCTGTTATTTTTACAACCCGAGATGTCGGAAGACAACCGTTCTACCATAAAACGAATTCAAAATAGCACACCAATTTTTAAAAAAAAACCAATTGTATGTACGCCATACCATCCATGAGCATGAGTTGAGACAGAATGCATTTGTCCAAATCTATGAAAATATCTATTACAATCGAATTTTGTATGTCGTTGACGGAGGTGGTCTTTGAATTTCGCTCTATGATAAGATGGTGAACTTTGTAATGTGAACAACTGAAGCGATTGCGATCAGTTCAACCGATTGTTGTATTATACGCTATCACTTAATGTATGCAACTAAACATAATTACAATCGATCGCAATTGGTCTTAATGGGAACGATAAAAAAAAATTAAAACACCACAAATATGCCAGTTAAAAGTTCGATTCAGATCAACTCGGGAAAATCATTAAAAGGATCAATCGCTCATCGGTATATATGCTTTTTGAAGTGAACGCCAAATGGTTTTTTTAAAGGTCGTTTTCTAGTTTTTTTTTAATCGACCACAGTTGATCTTATTGAGAATCATGGTATTTTATTACTTATGACATACAATTGAGATTGCTAAGTTTATTACAAACATAATATATATAATCAATTTGCTAAACAGAAAGTAACTGGAATATGTTTTGATTCGCGTGCCACTGATGAGGCTTATGTAGACAAAACGCTCGTCTAGTGTTCCAATAATAAAGACTCTTACATAGAATTGTACCATATACAATGTATATTACCTTTGCGATCTCATTTGGTTGAAATGGTCATATCGTTCATCATTCCTGATGGTCAAATTCCACATTTTGACCCTGTCATTACCGTAGTCTCTTAATGCGCCATCGACCGTCGCTCTGACCTCTGGTATTTTACTAAAGATGAGATATATGTATAATTTTATAGATGTTTATTACGCTGTCTCATATGTTTATTTGTATTCTTGTCTTTATATAAATATGATTAATTGCATTTACTTCAAGTTCATTCAGGGGCTTTGGTGGCCGAGTGATCTAAGTATTTCATCTACTGTATCACTAGCCTTTCAACACTAAGGCTGTGAGTTCGAACCCCGCACGTGGCAGGTGCATTTGACTCCCATCTTTATTGAGTAGGATTGTCAGTTTCTCTGTCGAAATTCCGTGGTTCTCTCCTCCAACAATAAAACCTGACCACCACGATAAAGCCATCAGTGCTGAGAGTGGTGTTAAACACCATCAATCTATCAATCAAATTTATTCAAACAACAATTTGAATATACAGTATGAATGTTGATGATTAAGACGGAAATAAATATACAGTGTAGGAGGTTTTATTTTAACGACAGTCTTAAATGAATTGCACAAGAAAGCAATTTGAACCTGTGTTAACTGCCAATTATTAATACATATCCGTTAGAATGAACTATCAGCACTGTCTACATGAAGTGTGTTCATATTGCACTTACATGAGTATTCTTTATACTTAACTTATATAATACATAAACATGCTATTGGAGATAATTTGTATTACGATTAGAACCTGGATGTTGCTTAATGTCAGACTAGACAACATCATCTAGTGATAAGTTCTTTCCATCATTATTATATGATTTCCGTTAATATTATTCTTGAGAAATTAATGCATTCCGTAAAAAAATGATTAAGGCTTAATATCGACTAGAACTATGTATTTTTCCAAAACATTATGATACCCTAGTTTCACTTTGTTGTATTTGTCGTGTATTACTTCCAATAAAAAAAATGACACAAAAAATGACGAAGTCACAACTCATTAAATAAACTAAAACCCTAACTTCGTAATGCGTTGTCCAATATTGATGACTATAATTTTAGGCAACTCGTGTTACTGTAGATTTTATCATGGGCAAGTCTTCATTATTGCAGATGATATGCGCGCACGCTTTTGTTGTTGTTTGGTATTGAACTAAAGGAAAGGAAAGATTATTCAAATAATGTACCCAGTATAATTAACAACGATACAAATAGTATCCTCGGATATTAATAACTTGCACCAATCCTTGGTTGATGTTGTGTCATTTCAACATTTTAAAAACAGTTATGCGCACGGAAGTAATATCATTTGTTTTTTTTTCTGTTTTTTTTTTTTTACTTTGTTGGGTTCTTTTTGTTTGTATCAACAAGCTTCTATAATCATGTTTCGAATTTCTACTTAACTATATAAATACAACAAATTCGATTTTCGCTTCATTTTGTTTTAATTCAAAAACGTAAATTAGATCACCTTATTTAAAATATTTGAAACTGAATTGTTGAAACCGATGATAACGATACGAGCCTGTAAGTCAGTGGTTGTCGATTGTTTCTGTATTTCATATTTGTTTTTCGTTTGTTGTTATGTACATAAATTAGGCCGTTGGTTTTCTCATTTGAATTGTTTTACATTTGGTTATGTCGGGGTTTTTATAGGTTGCTATGTGGTACGGGTTTTGCTCATGGTCTCCGGTGGATAGTTGTCTCATTGGCAATCGTGCCACATCTCCTTATCTTATATTGGAAGCATAAAATACCAATTTTCTTTTTTTCCCCCTTTTTGCATGTTTTCAAAACGTAGAAACACATATTTTGTTTTAGGAATGGCAGGTCATACAAAATGCACTCTGTTCTCATATACAGATTTCTCTGAGACTAGCATCACAGCAACCCAGTTGATACAATATTTCTGGACTGGTATTTATTATGAGGAATTCCTTGATTATCAATTGGCTCTTACAATTCGTCTCATGGCTTTCATTGTTTTTTTTTCCGTTTTTGTTGTTTTCTTTTATTCATACAATATTTTTTAGTTACATATGTTGAGTTGTACATACCCCTTGAACTTGCCATAATGGGCTAAGGACTTTGGTACATCAAATCCTCCGTATGCTTGATTTGTCTTTAATTCTGTTTGATGCAGGTGGCCTCTACTAAAATAAATGCAATTTAACATCGTCAAGATATAGCAGCAGTTAGTTCAAAATTCAACTGCTGGTCAGTAACCTTTCAAATGTTTTTTGCAAACTAAAATAAATGATTTAAGTGAGGGGGAGTTACTATATTTATTTCTGCATTTTTCGTTATTCCAGTACTAGTCATACGCCCTAAACTCGGATGTTAGTTTTTTTCTTCTTTTTTTCTGGGTTGAGGACGCTTTTTACAATAAATTTGTAAATGCCCTTATTCCAGACCATTAAAGGTCTAGCTGTCTCCAATGCCAAAGTCACTAAATGAATACAGAATTGTTTACTAATGTGAGAATGTTCATCTTGTATGGATGTTTGTTAATTTTTACACTAGGTCACTAACATAAATGATGTTACATTTAGTAAAACCTTAACAAGACCACTATGTTAAACTTCTACGGTCGGACACATTACCGGCTGTCGTAAATATTAAAGATTGTCCAATATTTTACTTGTAGTAATTGTTTGCTGTGTTTGTGTTGTCGATAAGCCGGTACATTATGAGACATCTTGCCATTGCTTTGAGGTGCGAGCTAAGCATTCCTTCCATGGGAGACGTATGTGAAGTATTATCAAAATACCCATATACTTATTGTGACTTTCATTCATTTTCAAGTTTAAAGGTTATGTTGTATTCAGTGTTGAATTCTGTTTGCAATGAAGATTTGATGTTTGCTATCAAAATATTTGTCCTTTGATTAATATATTGTTAAATTACCAAAGCGTGAGTTCAAATATATATAATGATCGTTCGACCACTCATTCTTGTGTTTGACCGTTCACTCGTTTGTTCATTTACACATCACTTGGTCCACCGCAATTGCTCTTAGCGGGTCATTGACGGGATTTCATTTCAAGCTTCAGAGATTCTTACTATATAATATAATTACTTTTTTTCAAATGATTATTTAAGTTCTCACAACAAATCATTGACATACCATATAGATACAAATGAGGAATGTGTGTTGAGTGTGTGAACTCTGCTAAGAGGTTTTCTAGTTTTTATTATTTTTCCTTCATATTACCTGAACATACGTCCAGGATCTCTGGATAGTTTTAGTGATGGGCCTTTTGTCGATGTTTCATCGGAAAATACTGAAAACATTCCAATATCTTCAAGCATGCTGATTGGATAGTCACGTAATGTCACCTTATTGGTTTCGTCATTGCTGTACTGCTTTGATTTCTCTACTACTTTTTCTTTTCCATCTTCTTCGTCCTTATCGTACAGCAAATGAAGTCTCTTGAGACTAACATGAAATATAAGTATGAGTATTTGATTTTTTGAAGAAAATGTTAAATGAAACATTGCATTTGAGGTTGCTGTTCTATTATTTCCAAGTAATTAGTTAATACAATTAGATTGTTGATAATTTAATTTGACGTGTTGTTTAAATGAGTTATATTCACAAACTACAGTACCTGTGTATTCTCCCTTTTATAGCTCTGTATTTAGATCGCCATATTAAGTCTTCGTGTCGGTACTTGTATTTCCTGTTAAGAGATACAGAGAAGTAGTAATTATACAGAACCGAACTTACCGTATCGTAAACTGTCCGGATGTTTTGAAACCAGACGAGTACCTGATTTTTGTCGGACGTCAAAATTGATACATGCTCCTATTCTTGACCAGGTACATCTTTATGATCTAAATGATTTACGTTTTATTTTACAATTTTATGTTATAGCAGATCTTGGATTGTTTAATCAGAACTTTTATAGACTTGGAATGATTTGTATCTTGACATATTGTACAAACACGTGTTTGTTGTTGAAGATTGTGTGTTGCCTTCTAGATACCTGTTTGTTGTTGAAGATTATATGTTGCCTTCTAGATACCTGTTTGTTGTTGAAGATTGTGTGTTGCCTTCTAGATACCTGTTTGTTGTTGAAGATTGTGTGTTGCCTTCTAGATACCTGTTTATTATTGAAGATTATGTGTTGCCTTCTAGATTAGATACCTGTTTGTTGTTGAAGATTATGTGTTGCCTTCTAGATACCTGTTTGTTGTTGAAGATTGTGTGTTGCCTTCTAGATTAGATACCTGTTTGTTGTTGAAGATTATGTGTTGCCTTCTAGATTAGATACCTGTTTGTTGTTGAAGATTATGTGTTGCCTTCTAGATTAGATACCTGTTTGTTGTTGAAAATTATGTGTTGCCTTCTAGATACCTGTTTGTTGTTGAAGATTGTGTGTTCCCTTCTAGATTAGATACCTGTTTGTTGTTGAAGATTATGTGTTGCCTTCTAGATTAGATACCTGTTTGTTGTTGAAGATTATGTGTTGCCTTCTAGATACCTGTTTATTGTTGAAGATTATGCATTGCCTTCTAGAAACCTTTTGGTCATTTTTAACATAGGGTTGCCGTTTGATTGACGTTTACCTCACAGCTCTTTTTTCATATTCATTTAAGGTATATGGATTAGACATGTTTAGAAAAGGTTTAGTGTGCCCAATAATGTCGAACGATGTAACAATTATAATAACAACTCAAAAGTGGCTTCCATAAGATAAGCGTACTCTTATTTTAAGGTTCAGGTTTAAGTTATGAATATAGACGAAGATGTATGGATCGCAAACCCCGTCAAATATTCAAGTGACTGTTTGTCAGGAACCTCTTCAGTGGTTGTGAATTCTTAATGTTTGTGTTATTCGGCTAAACATTTTATATAAGTGTTAGTTCTTTGATATTCTCTGTAAAGTCTATTTACGATTTAGAATTTAACGTATTGTCTAGACATCGTTATATTGTTGAAGACTGTAAGTTGACCTCTGGATTTCTTGTAATTATTTGTGTCGTTGGGTTGCTGTCTCATCGACGTTTTAAAACCACCACCCCAACCTCATCTTGTTTAATTCATTTGTGTGTCATTTTATTACTTTAAAGATCAAATTAAAACGCACATACATGTATGTTACCTCTTATATACATCTTTTGGTTTCACTTTTTTCGTTGAATTGTTGTGTCATTTACATATAAACTTTACATTCATACTTTTAACTAATTAAAATAATGTTATTCTATATCGATTCTCCCTTTTTATGCCGTTGAAAATTAATTACAGGACCTCATAAATAGATATAGGTACCATATATTTATTTTTTACATATAGAAGTGTTATCCTTTATCAGCAATAAATTCAGATTTTGGCAATTAACCCAGAAAAAGACAAGATAGTACGGGGATTTATATTGCCATATAAAAGCAGTGATTTTGTGTCATGGATAAATACCCCATATCCTTTGTTTTTCTATTATAGGATATCAATTTGATGACAGAAAAAAGACGCAATTAAGATCTCATTCCAAATCCATAACTACTAAACATCTTCTGAAAGTGTTACTGCATCTGGAAAATTTCAGAAAATGACTTCTTCTGTTATATCAAAACTAATTACTCTTTTTAGAACAAGAGAAAAGATAAAATATGTATTTATTACTTCTATGGAAATCAGATGTAATCGTCTCATTCTTCGGGCTAACGCCCCTCAGATATGAGAATCCTACATCTAATACATAAAAAGATATTAAAGCACCTATTATTATCCGATTTGTATGTAATTGGTTTCAGCATTTCATTGTATTTCTTCTCATCGTCGTCTTTCACTCCTTCCATGTTCTCTTCTGCAAATAATTAATCTACATGCATCAATTGTGTGAATGTAAACGGGGCTTTAGTCTTCAGCAATTTTCGTAATCCACCTGACAATTTTTTTTATCTTTTGAAGAATTACATATTTTATCTTTAAACAAATATCAAATCAACTAATATGTATATTAGTGACATTTCATATTTTAATCAATTTCAAATGTAGCCAATAGACTACTATTAATTTTTTTTATTTCTAATGCATGTACAATTTTGTGTGCAAAACAGTACTAAAAGATAAATGCTCTGCAGATTGGGAGAAAGGTTTAGCGAACTTCCCGAAACTTCGAACATACAGACTCATAAAATCTGAATACAGCTGTGAACATTACATAGAACTTAATCTTAACGTAACGAAAGGTCCATACTAGCGCAGCTCAGGTGTGGCATTCTTCCACTCAGGTAAGAAACTGGTCGTTTTGTAGGTGAAGCAGAAGAGGACCGATTGTGTAAAATGTGTGATGATAACTGTGTGGAAAACGAATTTCATTTCCTCATAAACTGTAATTTTTACAACAATCTACGAGTTCAACATTTCTCACAAATTGAAAATTTATATATTTTATCAAAAGATGAACAGTTAGAATATTTAATATGTCAACATCCAAGAAAAACTGATAAATATCTATTGCAAGCTTTCAGTAAGAAAAAAAAAAACTTTTTATATTAAAATTTTCGATAAAATTGATTTATTTTGTTCGTCGTACCATTGACATTAATGTTTAAAGTGACTTATAGGCCCAAAGGGTCGGGTGTTCTAATTATTGTTTTTATATTTCTCTGTATTATATACTATTTTGTGAAAAACACATGTCAATATAATAAATAATAATTCAGTTTATATAAACAAATACATATAGGTGTAAAACTTACATATGGACACACAGGCACGTATGCATACAATAAGTGCAAATGTACATGACAAACCCCTTCATGCAAAAGTATAATCGGACATATGCAAATTCTCACTGTGTGTATTTTGTGAATATGGATGCAAAATATAAAATTACTGCGTTGTCTGTATACCCCGAGGTTCGAATAAGCTATACCCCGAGGTTCGAAGAAGCGAGGTTATTATAATCTTTGGCTCGTTAGTCCATCAGATCTGTGCGCGTCCATCCGTAAGTAATTAAGGTTTCCATAAATAAAATGCGTTATATCGAAAAACAGTCACCTTACTTCGATGTATGGTCACATATTAGAGGGATAACAAGAATGAAATGTATGTCACTACGTCTTGTGAAACGTCCTATTTACTATTTCATTTTCAACTTTTACACCACTCTCCTAGGTTGTGAAAGGGTTAGTCGCTCAAAACATATCTTACACCGCCAAACTCTTTCTACATTTGTCCTAATCCAGGTTTTCTATTCTATATCGTTTGAAACTTTCACATTTTAATTCATCCCGGGGCTTTTGGCCCTGAAATACAGTGTGAAAAACTTAACGAACGAGACACACAGGTAGTGAATCAAATGGAACGACTGTGAAATATAGATTCCACCACTGCAACAAGTGTGTTATGATATTTCTCCATTCGAGACAGTTTAATTTTAATATTTAAAGCGCGAGGCTTGCCGAGCTTTTTAAATAAGTAAAAGTAAACTGTTGAGAGTGGAGAAATATCGTAATACACGAGTTATAGTGTTGGAATCCGTTTCTCTAATGATTTGTATCCTTCCTTTTCAAAGATTTGCAGAAAGTTGTGTTCTTTATATGTGACATCATCAGGCATGGTCGCCTTTTTTCATGACGTCACAATAGAAAATTCAGAAGAAACCAAGCAAATTTGACGTCATAATTAAATTTCGACCAATCATTTGCTGAGAACAGAAATTTCACTAGTGAGGAAAAATATTTATCTCACACCGATCAAGAAATGTGAAAATAGCACAAAAATTAGAGAAAGCTGAATTAGCCCCATCCATGACTCGACTCAATCTAGGAAAAATACAAATTGTGTAATGACCACCGTGTGTGTATATGAGGGTGTGGATGGGGGTTTACAGAATAGAGATTAAAGGGCAAAAAATATAATGTATAGAGAAAAATGGACCCAAAAAAATAAAAAATAGAGAATACTGAGGTGCTAAAATATAAAGAATAGAGAATAATGAGCAAAAAGTATAAAGAATAGAGAAAAATGGCCCAAAAAATTAAAAGAATACAGTAATGAAGTATCCACATCCAGACCCTCGTATATACACGAAAATAAACCCCTGGTTTAACACCATGTGAACGCATTAAACATAAAAAAATATGCAGATGTGCATCTTTACATGTGAGTGTAATTTTTCATATGAATTTGATATCTATAATATATCATGTATAAAACAATGTCAAAAAAGGCTTTCTGTAAAAAAAATATTGTCCCATGATGCAGTTAACATATCTACTTTAACCTACATTGTAACAGATATATTAAGGTTCCTCTAAACAATGATCTTCTTATAATTAATAAGACTGAAAAAGAAATAATACTGACCCGCGTTGTAAACGAATATAAATCATATGTCCAAAGTAACGAAAATTGTAGATCCTCCACTAGTATGTGGTAGACTTAGATCACTAAATTAGACGAGCACATTTTTAAAATCTAGCATATTAATGCATGTAGAATCAATCATACGTGTTGAATAGGACCTGGCTCTCCACTAGATATATATCATTTAATTTTGATAACTGTACGTTGCTGGTATTTATATGTACAAAAGTCACAGTTACTTTGAAATCCACATAAATACAAAAGGTCTAAATGTACACGTATAAATATATATAAAGCTTAGGTGTTCAGTGTCATTATCGCTAATCAAGACATCATTGAATTTCGAGACTGTGTATAAAATATAACAATTAAGCATTTTAAGTATATCAAAACAATCAGTCCTGTTAGATTAATTCAAATTATCTTCCATTTAAATGCAGTTTATAAGTACACTATATAAATAACACATAGCTGAGAGGGTGCAGATTGTTACCCCAAGAAAACATTGTCAACCAAATTTATTATACTAAATGTTCTTTTATTATCGTCTTTTAAATTTTAAATTTGAAATAGTTAACTATGACATCATGTCCATAACTTTATAACGTAACAGTTATTAGAAAAACAACAAAAGAGAAGCAAGATATATTTCGTATTTTTAGTCAAGTTCTGAGGCCAAAACGTAAAACTTGAGCATTGTCTTTAAAATTATTGATGGAAATTTGATTCATTTCCTTTAAATTATCGATTTTTGATTGGTCTTGAGGGTGACATTCAAAAAATTGTCTCCCGCTGAGCCATGGGATAGAGTAAATTATCTCATTCGTATTAGCCAATCAAAATATGGAATTTTAATAAAAGTTATTGACTAAACAATGAATAAATTCTCCAGAATTGTAAGAGTTATAACGTTTTTTCCACGGTAGGTATAGTGTCATGCAGAATTGTAAGAGTTATAACGTTTTTTCCACGGTAAGTATAGTGTCATGCAGAATTGTAAGAGTTATAACGTTTTTTCCACGGTAGGTATAGTGTCATGCAGAATTGTAAGAGTTATAACGTTTTTTCCACGGTAGGTATAGTGTCATGCAGAATTGTAAGAGTTATAACGTTTTTCCACGGTAGGTATAGTGTCATGCAGAATTGTAAGAGTTATAACGTTTTTTCCACAGTAGGTATAGTGTCATTCAGAATTGAAGAACAATGTACAAATGTAACTGTTGTGAAATGGAATCAAATCTAGCATATGTCTAGCTGGGCATGCAGTAATGACACACCGTGTGATAGCTTGCTTAAATTATTTATTTATTTATTTATTTATTTTTAAAAATTCATTAATGACAATCCTCACATTTTAAGTGGCTTCCGATACCATCTCAGGACCACCTTCTACTAGACGGAGGCAACAAAGTACCGTTTTATATTCCAGATGTTTTCTATGAAATACGAGGATATAATGTTTCTGTGAATAAAAGGAGACGAGGAGTAAACGTCAATGAGATAACAATTCAAACGAAAAAAAAAACAAAATCTACAGGGCAAGGTGTCTTTACAATATGTCAAACTCAAAATAGTCCCGAGTTTATAAAACCGGTGTCTTTAAAAGTTGTGAACAAATTTAACAGAAACAATCAAAGATCTGGAATTACCACATCTAACTTTGATATTCAATAACAGTTACATTCATCAATTAGGTGTCATTAGTGGAGCAGATAATACTAACCCTTCCGGATTACCTGAGAGATCGTGTTGATCAATCTTTAAGACACTTGTCTATTGTTCAAGGCCGTATGTTGACCTCTAAATGTCTTTTAATGTTTGTGGTGTTAAGTTGCTGTCTTATTGACGAGCTACACGTTTACTTTATGGAATAGGATGCAAACACCTCTCATTTCGTAACTGGGATATATTTTAACAGCAGATGTGTTAGTAGGTCAAAGTTACATAATTACATCAAGATAATCATGTCGGTAATTGTGGGCTAATAGATCAAGTGAATGATATTTATAACTTTATCATAAATAAAGAGTTTAAATGATAACGGTGAAAGTTGATGGTGCCAACAGTCGTTCACCTCATCAAATAAGCCAAATGACATTAATATAGAGGTTAATATTGTCTTATCATGCAGTAAGAAATTAAAGTAATAGTCTAACCACGTATTTATTAGCTTCCAGATGTTTCTGACGAACATAATTTAGACGACCTATTTTCTTTCAATAATCCAGAAAGTGACGAATGAAGAAGTATATTTTTTGTTTGTACTTGTCCAGTTTATGTATTAGATACACCTTGAGGCCGTTAGCCCGAATGGGTGTATCTAATTTACACCAAGATATTATTGCCAATGCAGAATGATAGTTTTCAATAATTTAGGAGGGGGTCTTTCAGCGATTTGATCATATGTTATTGAAAATCATGATAAATGCAATGTATCTAATTTCATTTAACGACATCTTGGTGTAAATATGTATAGAATTGAGAATGGAAACGGGAAATGTTTGTTTATTAATACCCATCCTGTACCTAAGTATAAAGTTGTCATAGTAAATTATACGATTACGAAACTACTTATTTTGATCATAGATGCAAATATTTGAATGGTTGGCTGTACCTTTTTAAATCTTATTTCAAACGGGACACTACATCTTAATTTGTACAGTAATGTTAAATTTTGATACGATCAATGAAAACTTAAAGCTCCCTTACATTAACGTTATCTTTAGCACTGTAGAGAGATCTTTTAAAATTGTCTTCATCGGTACATAATTACATTACATGTATGTTTCATTATAATACGTTATTTTGATTGGCTAACAGCAATCTCGTAACCTTCATTTCAAAATGATATGTAACATTCATGCCGACACGAGCTTCCACAATAAAGTGCACAGGTAAATAAAAGAAAAACTTGATAGAAATCGTGTTTTCACGATCCTAGCAAAAAAATGTAATTATAAGTATTGAATACTTCTTTTAGTAATTTTATAGGGTTGTATAAGCGTTGACCGTGCGCACATTTTTAGAATGAAGCGCGCTTCATACAAAATGTACTTCGGTCAACGATTTTACACCCCAATAAATTTACAAAAAGAAGCATTCAATTCTTAATAACATTGATTTATATTTAATAAATTAAACATAACTAGATATGTATGACCTGTCGATACTTATAGTTTGCCATTGCAGAAGGCCATGCTTTTACCTGAGTGTTTATGACGTCTTTATGCTATATCATTGGTATGTATTGATTGATATTTTAGTTTGGGAAACATGGTTTATTTTTTAGTTGAAATTGACTTTGAATTAGCTGCAAATACTTTCAAATTGGTATATATGGTTTATTTATTAGATGAAATTGACTAGCATTATGTAACTGCGAATACTTTCAAATCGGTACCTTGTGTTTCTGTCTTTTTGTGTGCTTTGTGCCGATTTGATTAGTAAAGCATTTCGAACCGACCTTTTTAGTTTGTAATTAAGTTGTGCTGTTTCACTACTGTCCAATTATAGGGTTTTGGTTGAGCTCTCAAAAACATGTATAACACCGCAACATGTCTGTCCAAAGTCAGGAACACACAAAGCACAGGGCAACATTACAGTACAATATTTTAAAGAAAGATGAAAAGAACATCCATATCACAGCACTGACATAGTCAAAACTCAAATTAGGAAAAACTATTAACAAAATGTCTAGAATATGTTTTTCTACGTACTTCATCCATTTAACAGAGCAGAGCTCAAATATATAATCGAATAATTTGCTGGGACGACCCAAAAACTTATAAAGTAATCTTTATTTAGACTGAACATAACCGTAACTGATTAGCTCATCTATGATAATAACGGCCGATAATAACTTATACTATTCAACACTTCACAGTATATGTTCATAAGTTACACAGGTTAACATCACCATAATCTTTACCAGAACCTAGCTAAAACATCCTACCAAGGTAGGCTAAATAGTAAAGATGTGTGATAAACGTTGTTGTCTCTAGCTAAAACACGCTACCAAGGTAGGCTAAATAGTAAAGATGTGTGATAAACGTTGTTGTCTCTAACTAAAACATGCTACCAAGGTAGGCTAAATAGTAAAGATGTGTGAAAAACGTTGTTGTCTCTAGCTAAAACATGCTACCAAGGTAGGCTAAGTTGTAAAGATGTGTGATAAACGTTATTGTCTCTAGCTGAAACCTACTACCAAGGTAGGCTAAATAGTAAAGATGTGTGATAAACGTTGTTGTCTCTAGCTTAATCATGCTACCAAGGTAGGCTAAATAGTAAAGATGTTTGGCAAAATAGTAAAGATGTGTGATAAACGTTGTTGTCTCTAGCTAAAACACGCTACCAAGGTAGGCTAAATAGTAAAGATGTGTGATAAACGTTGTTGTCTCTAGCTTACCAAGGTAGGCTAAATAGTAAAGATGTGTGATCAACGTTGTTGTCTCTAGCTAAAACATGCTACCAAGGTAGGCTAAAGAGTAAAGATGTGTGATAAACGTTGTTGTCCCTAGCTAAAACACGTTACCAATGTAGGCTAAATAGTAAAGATGTGTGATCAACGTTGTTGTCTCTAGCTAAAACACGCTACCAAGGTAGGCTACAATAGTAAAGATGTGTGATAAACGTTGTTGTCTCTAGCTAAAACATGCTACCAAGGTAGGCTAAATAGTACAGATATTTGATAAACGTTGTTGTCTCTAGCTAAAACATGCTACCAAGGTAGGCTAAATAGTAAAGATGTGGAATAAACGTTGTTGTCTCTAGCAAAAACACGCTACCAAGGTAGGCTAAATAGTAAAGATGTGTGATAAACGTTGTTGTCTCTAACTAAAACACGCTACCAAGGTAGGCTAAATAGTAAAGATGTGTGATAAACGTTGTTTTCTCTAGCTAAAACATACTACCAAGGTAGGCTAAATAGTAAAGATGTGTGATGACGTTGTTGTCATTAACTAAAACATGCTACCAAGGTAGGCTAAATAGTAAAGATGTGTGATAAACGTTGTTTTCTCTAGCTAAAACATACTACCAAGGTAGGCTAAATAGTAAAGATGTGTGATAAACGTTGTTGTCCCTAGCTAAAACATGCTACAAAGGTAGGCTAAATAGTAAAGATGTGTGATAAACGTTGTTGTCTTTAACTAAAACATGCTACCAAGGTAGGCTAATTAGTAAAGATGTGTGATAAACGTTGTTGTCTCTAACTAAATAGATATAGGAAGATGTGGTATGAGTGCCAATGAGACAACT